GGAGGGTTGGGTGACTATTTCAGGAGGGTTGGGGCAGGTAACGATTTTGGGAGGGTTGGGGTGGGTAATGATTTTGTGAGGGTTGGGGCAGGTAGAGATTTCAGGAGGGTTGGGGTGGGTGACAGTTTTGGGAGGGTTGGGGCAGGTAATGATTTCGGGAGGGTTGAGGCAGGTAACGATTTTGGGAGGATTGGGGTGGATAATGATTTTGGGAGAGTTGGGGCAAGTAAAGATTTCAGGAGGGTTGAGGCAGGTAATGATTTTGGGAGGCTTGAGGCAGGTAACAATTCTGTGAGGGTTGGGGTGGATAATGATTTTGGGAGGGCTGAGGCAGGTGACGATTTTGGGAGCGTTGGAGCTGTGTCAGACATGTCTGTGCCGGGCTCAACTCCGGACAGACGAGTCTGGCTCTTCCAGCGCTGCAGGAAAACTGAGAAAAAGAAGCAGGAAAAAGCCCCCAACTCCGTGAAGTGAAACTCGGTGGTAAATAAGCTCCGAAGAGCCGAGATGGGCATCCGTGGCAGGAGGCAATTCCTGCCAGGCCGAGCCATTCCAAGCGGGAATACAAACAACCTTCAGCTGCGGCGGCAGCTTATTAGTGCTGATATATCAGCGGCCGTGCGCTCGTTTGTCTCCTGTCAGCAGCAGCTGCTTATCCAGCAGATTTCCCGCTGTACTCCTGGGGAAATGGCCTGAAATTGATGTTCACAAGCCATGGCTGACTTTATAAGGAGCTGCTGTAACTCGTGGAGCGCAGGGGTGAGGCAGGAAAGGATTAAGTTGGGTCTTATTTATAAGGAGTGAAAGCCATAAATTCTGGGAGGGTTTTAAATCTCGGTGCCCAGGGCAGGAGCTGCTGCTCATCCCTGGTGGTACCTTCTGTTCTCTGAGCAGACATTCAACACCGTGATTGAAACTCCTCTGGCATCTCCGAGTTCTCTGATAATAAATATAAGGGAAAAAAGGGATTCAGGCTCAAAAAGCAGAAAAAAAAAAAAATTCTATATACTTTTGCTTTTCTTGAGATAATGCTGGGTCTAAACTGTGAGGCATCCATGTGTTGAGAGGAAAAACCAAATGTTGTTCAAAGAAAGGACTTTTAGGTGTTTGAGCCTCAGGAATGATGGAAATAAAAGGTCTTGTTCTCAGCTGGCCTGAGAAGATTCAGGTTCAGAGTGAGGACAGTGCACTTTTGCACCTGAAATACATTTAGGCCTGGCCTAAACCTGTGTGGAAAAGGCAGAAGGAAGGAGGGCTGGGCCAGAAGCTGCTTCTGGGCTTGTTCGGATCCCCTTTGCCATGTCTGCAACAATTCCTGGGAGAACATTCCCATAAGGAACATCCTGAAGAGCTCCTTCCACAGGGGAGTACTCTCAGAGTCGTGGTGCTGCCAAGCCCCCATGATGAAACTGCTTTTCCCATCCCATTTTCCCCATTTGGGGATTAATTGTGTGACATTTCATCTCAGATCTTTGCTGTTTTTCACCCCCCCGTGGTGTCACGTCTCGTTCACTCTCTCCTGAGCTGAAGTTGGTGCCCAAGGCAGGGATGGGTCACCCTGCAGGTCCCTCTGCAGGGTGATATGACCCCTCCCTGGGGCTGTTCCTCTGACATTTTGGTCAGGAGGCACAGAAAACCCTCCTGGGGTTTTTCCTTTGTGTGGTGTGGTAAAGGAGAGCATCCAGTGGGACCTGGAGAGGGAGAACATGGGGCTCAGGAAGTTCATCCTGAGGGGTGTTCCCCTGGAGAAGGGCAAAATGCAGGGAATGCTGAGAGTCCCTGCAGGGGCTCCAGGAGAGCTGGAGAGGGACTGGGGCCAAGGGCTGCAGGGCCAGGAGCCAGGGAATGGCTTCCAGTGGGAAAGGGGAGATTGGGCTGGGATCTTGGCAAGGAATTCCTGCCTGGGCTGCAATTCCCACATTTCCCATGGCTGCCCCTGGATCCCTGGGAATGCCCAAGGCCAGGCTGGACACTGGGGCTGGATCCAGCTGGGACAGTGGGAGCTGTCCCTGCCCATGGATGGGGTGGGAATGGGTGGGATTTAAGGTCCAACCCAAACCATTCCATGGTTCACCTGGGTGTGAGAACCTCCAAGGCTTCTCCAGGGGTTACAGCTCTCTGTAAATTCCCGCTGATGTGGAGTGCGAGCTCCTCCCGGGATTTTCTCCTGCTCTTCCAGGAAGGGTCCGGAGCCCTGTCCTCAGCAGGGTGCCAGGGCTTGGCTGCAGAGCTTTGATTTCCCATCCTCTGCTTCCACCTGGGACATCTCAGTGACTCATGGAGGGGTTGAGGGCACTTGGAATGTCCAGCTGGAGCAGAGGATGCTCAGAGGAGACTCATCGGGATTTGTTCCTCCCGAGGGGCAGCTGTGACAGGGACAGGACCTGGGGAATGAATGCCTGGAGCTGCTCCAGGGCAGGGTCAGGATTCAGGGAAAGGTTCCTCATCCAGAGGCTGCTGGCACTGCCCAGGCTCCCCAGGGAACGGGCACGGCCCCGAGGCTGCCGGAGCTCCAGGAGCACTTGGACAGCGCTTGCATGGTCAGGGTGGGATTGTTGCGGGGTCTGGGCATGGCCAGGACTTGGATCAACGATCCTGTGGGCCCCTCCCAACTCAGGATATTCCCTGATCCTGTCCGAACTCCTCGGCCACAGCAAAAACTCGAGCGTCTGTTGGAAGTAATGAAGAAAAATCACAACCGGGCAGCGCCGTACTTCCCGCAGCTTTCAGAGATGAGGAATGGGCGCGAGCGGGGTTTTAAATAACCCAGCGTGTCAGAAAAGCACAAACAAATGATGAAAAGCAAAGAAAAAAACCCCAGAGCTCTGCTAAACTTTATGGTTGCCATGCTTCATCTTCATTTTGGTGCAGGTGTTTGTTGGGAGGTGAGTGATGGACGCTCTGGAGCCTGGGAGCGGCGGCGGGCGGGAGATGGAGCACCCTGCCCTGCAACGCACGGCTCGGCTTCTTTTTGAAATAAAAAAAACCAAACATTTTTCCCTCCTGCTGAAGATGGATGTGTCCTGAAGATCCAAACCAAGTTTGCAGAGCTGGGAAAAATCCCTTCCCGGCACAGGCATCAAACGTCGGCGTGCTGCGATAACGAAACCGGCGACGCCGAGCTGGGAACGCGGCGCAAACACCGTGTTTAATCCCAGTTTAAACACAGCTTGTAAAGCGCTTGTAAGAGCTTGAGAGCTCCTCAGGCACGCCTCGGTGTCAGGGGAGCGTGTTAAGAGTCCTTTGTGAGTGTTTGAGGACATAATCTCCTGCTGGAGCTGTTCTCAGGGCAGCACTGCCATCCAAAATCTCCCTCGTGGCGTTGCACACGCAGGCGTGGGGATCGTTCCCCGTGGAGTCAGCCTGAGGGTTTGGGAACATCCCGCTCTTGTCCCAAAGGGTTTCCCCATTTTTATGGGTTTAGTTCCTGGTGCAGACCCACCTGCCACAGAGGGTCAGGCTAGGCTGGAATGTCCAAGGTCGGGTTGGACAGGGCTTGGACAGTCTGGGATAGTGGGAGGCGTCCCTGCCCATGGAATGGGATGGGCTTTAGGGTCCCTTCCACCCAAACATTCCATGATTCCCTGATGATCCATGGGAGGTTGTCTTGAACTCTCTGAGCACCCCAAGGCTCTCCTGAATCAGCACTGCACCCAACAAGGCCTGACCCTTCCCTCTGGCACTTCCAGAGGGGATTCCCTTGGAAGACAGCAGTTGTGACGTTGAGCGCTGTGGGAAGATCCCATCACTGGTGGGACATGCTGAGGAGGCTGGAGGAGTTCTCTGGTGGCTTAAACCGAGGGGTTTGGTCTGGTCTAAAGGAGTTCTCTGGTGGCTTTAACTGAGGAGATTATGGATGCTCTGGAGAAGTTCTCTGGTGGCTTTAACTGAGGAGCTTGGGCTGGTCTAGAGTTCTCTGGTGGCTTTACTGAGGAGGTTTGGGCTGGTCTAGAGGAGTTATGTGGTGGCTTTACCAAGGACACTGGGCTGGAGATGTTCTCTGTTGTCTTTAACTGAGGAGGTTTTGGATGCTCTGGAGAAGTTCTCTGGTGGCTTTAACTGAGGAGATTTTGGATGCTCTGGAGTTCTCTGGTGGCTTTACCAAGGGGTCTGGTCTGGAGAAGTTCTCTGGTGGCTTTTTGTGCCGGTGGCCCTGACGAGTGTCCGTTTGTCCTGCAGGGGAAGGTGGCCCAGACCGCCTGCATGTCGGCCTGCAAACACCTCTCGACGTCGCTGCTGCAGCTGCTGCTGGAGGCCGAGGTGCGGCAGCTGACGCTGGGCGCCCTGCACCAGTTCAACCTGGACGTGGAGGAGTGCGAACGTAAGAGCCCCGAGCACCCCGGCCCCGGGCCCAGGGACAATTCCCACTCAGATTTTGGGTAAAGATTTAAATCCAGGAGGCCACACCTAAAATGACTTTGGCCTGTGAGTTTTAAGGATGGCAGATCAGCTTTGTTTATAAAATGAGTTATTTATTGACCACGCTGGAGAAAATGAAAAGGTTTTAATCAAGGTTACTACAGGGTATGAACCAAAAATAATTATTGGTGCATTACATGAAATAATGTGTGGCATTTAGGTATTTATATTAAAATTATATTCATAAATATATTTATAGTATTTATTATATTTATATTTATATTTATATTTATATTTATATTTATATTTATATTTAAACTGGCAAAATAAATGGGCTGGGTTAGGAATCAAAAAGAATAGGATAGATTAGGAATCAAAAGAATGGGATAGATTGGAGATCAAAAGAATGGGATAGATCAGGGATCAAAAGAATGGGATAGATTAGGGTCACCCAGAGCATCTTCAGCACAGAGGAGTCCAAGAGATCCAAGCTTCTCTCTTCCTTTTCCTCCTCAGCGCTGCCTTGATGTTCTCCAGACCGCCCCTACTTTTGGGGATGGAGTATGTTAAAAACAGGAGGGATTTAATCAAAAATCAGTTTATTTATGACTTTCTGAGAAGCTGGGGCTGCCCCAAGGAAGTGGGCAAGTGTCCAAGGCAGGGCTGGATGAAGAAGACGATGTTCTTCACCAGTTCTGGTCCTCTCCCAGCCTCAGCCCTTTGTCCTTCCCTGCAGGGAATTTTGTCCCTGGAGTGGCCTCTTTGTGCCAAGATGGAAATGAGGTGTCTTGTGACAAAGTGACAGCAGCTCCTCGGCCAGGGGTGTGGATCATCCTGGTGCTCCCAAACCTGCTCCTTAGGGCTGGAGTTCTCTGCTTGCCCTCAGGTTTGTCCTGCTCAGTACGAGGGTTAAAAACCAGAGCCCAGAGCAGACAAAACACTCTTTTTAATCCTGGTTTTGGGATTAAGGCACAGCCCTGCACAGGATCCCCTTCCCTCTGAGGGGGGATGGATTTGTTGGGATCCATCCTGGGATGGATCTGTGACCGTGGTGGTTGAGAGCCCAGAGATTGATAGGGCTCCTAAAGAACCCAGGTGATCTTTGTACGGGATTTTTGGGATTTTTTTCACCCCCAAATAACCACATTTTGGCTTTCCTGGTTGAGGTGGGGATTGGGATGCCTCTGTGTTTTCCACAGATCCTGGCATGCTTTGGGTGGGAAGGGAGCTCAGAGCCCATCCAGATCCATGGGCAGGGACACTTCCCACTATCCCAGGGTGCTCCAAGCCCCATCCAGGCTGGCCTTGGACACTCCCAGGGATCCAGGGGAATGACTCAGTGACATCAGCTCTCTTGGCTTCATCATCCCACTGCCAAAACAACTTCTTCCATCCTTCATCCAACATTTTCCTGACCAGATTTTACTTCAGCTGCCCCCATCAACACTGAGATTAAATTCATTGCTGGGAACGATCCCCCAGCAGGAATTTTGCCGTTTCCATCAAGGGTTTTTCCATTTTTTAACATCCACTTGCCATTTTCCAGCCCTCAGCTGAGCGGCCTGGCAGAAGGATCCCGGTTTAATGGTTCCCATCCAGATCCTGCAGCTGCACCATAACTCACAAAGCAATTCCTGATTTTTCTCCAGGGGCTGTCTCCATCCCCGAATTCCTGACGCTCATTTGTGTCCCCTCGGGAGCAGCTGTGTTCCATGGGTGCCTGCCGAGGGACGGGCGCTGGAGCTGGGAATAATGGGAAGCATTTGTCATCCCTAATAATTCCCTGGGTTTTATTTTGGCTGCAAACGCTCCAAACCTGGCAGTTTTCCGCCCCATCCGTAACGTGCATCACGGAGCAGCAGCTCTTCCCTAAAAGCTGCTGCTGCCAAGGAAGACGGATGGGATTTCACAGCAGGTGGGAAAGAGCAATTCCGTAAATTCCGGTTGTGCAGGGAGCCCGAGCCGGGAGCACTCAGACATCCCGGAGCAGGTGACGCCAACCTGGGCGGCAGGGTCAGGGACCTGTCCCCCAGCCCCGTCCTGAGGTGCCACTGGAGCAGGGAATGGAGATGGATGCTGGAGCTGGATCCTCCCCATCCATCACTGTCAGGCCCAGAACAGACAAAATCCCTTTTCCTTTCCTTTCCTTTCCTTTCCTTTCCTTTCCTTTCCTTTCCTTTCCTTTCCTTTCCTTTCCTTTCCTTTCCTTTCCTTTCCTTTCCTTTCCTTTCCTTTCCTCTTTCCCCCTTTCCCTCTTTCCCTCTTTCCCCCTGATCCCCACGGATCTGGCTGCTGGCTCTGCTACTCCTGGGAATCACTTCAATTCGGTTTTTTGGAGCAGAAATCCATCAGGGTTTGAATTTTGGGATGAGCCATTTCCAAGAGGGAAGTGGCACATTCAGAAAATAACTTTCAGTTATTTGGGGTTAATCCTTGGTTTTTTGGGGATTTTTTAGCCTTTTTTTACCTGAAAGCACAGGTGTGACTCTCCACATCCTCACATCCTTCGTGCCTCTGCCTCCGTCCTCTTCCTCCCCCCAGATTTCCAAACCTTTCCTAATCCAGCAGTTTTACCTTGCACTTAGCACATTAAAACAGGATTTTGTGTCATTTTGGAGCGTTTCCAGCAGCCGAGGCAGTGGGGCTGCAGAGTTTTGATGCTGGAGTTTAAGGGTTTGTTTGGGAATGCTGAAGAAATAATCTGGTTAAAGGAGAGGTGAATTAAGGAAATTAGTTAATTGTATTTTAGGCATAGTTTGAAGGTGGTGAAGATAATTTTCCTCCTATTACAAGCAGATCCAATACACATTAGAAGGAAATTGTTTATAAGCACAACCGACATCAGGAGAGGTGAAAAATGTGGGGGTTTAGGCTTAAAACAAGGCACTGCTAAATTAATCCCTCTGATTTTTGGGTTCATAAAATATTTCCTGATTTATAACTCATGTCCCTCAGCATGGAAGGGAGTGGCTGCTGGACCGTGGCATGGCCAGGGGCAAGTCCAGGTGGCTGAGGGGGATCCTCAGGTGAGGCCCCACCTGCAGAGCTGCCCCAGGCTGGGCTGATCCCAAAGGAAAGGTGGGAATTGTGTCCCGGAGCCCCTCAGGTCAGGCCCCACCTGCAGAGCTGCCCCAGCCCCAGGGCCAAGAGCAGGAGGACGTGGAGCTGCTGGAGAGAGTCCAGAGGAGGCCCCGGAGCTGCTCCAGGGCTGGAGCCCCTCTGCTCTGGAGCCAGGCTGGGAGAGCTGGGAATGTTCCCCTGGAGAAGGGCAAAATGCAGGGAATGCTGAGAGTCCCTGCAGGGGCTCCAGGAGAGCTGGAGAGGGACTGGGGCCAAGGGCTGCAGGGCCAGGAGCCAGGGAATGGCTTCCAGTGGGAAAGGGGAGATTGGGCTGGGATCTTGGCAAGGAATTCCTGCCTGGGCTGCAATTCCCAGATTTGCTGGGGCTGCCCCTGGATCCCTGGGAATGCCCAAGGCCAGGTTGAATACTGGGATTGGATCCAGCTGGGATCCTGGTATCTGTCCTTGCCATAGCAGGAGTGAGATGAAAATGCTCTTTAAGGTCCCATCCCAGCCAAACCAGTCTGGGATTCTTGGATTCTGGGATTCTGTGGTGCTTGACAGAAAGATGAGTTTATGATTGGACCCCTTGCCTGCTCTTTAAATCTCCCCCTTCCTTAAGTCTTCGCTTTTTTGGCGTGTTCAAAGCACAGAAAATAGTTTGTTCATTTTGGTTGGTTTTCTGCTCTTCCAAAAGCTGCTGTAGGACTGAGGAGAAGCAGTGAACTGAACGGGCACCAACAGCCAGATCTTCCATGTTTTCCTCATGTGGATATCCCTAAAATCAGCGGCATTTTTGCTGTGAAAGAGGTGAAAAGAGCAGAGCAGAGCTGTAAAAATCCTTTTAGGCTCCTTGTGATGAGAGAAACCTGGGAGAAATCCGAGCTGTTTTCCATGGCTTTATCCTGGTGTGACCAGGAGTCTCCAGCTGGACGAATTCTCGAGGAGACGCAGGGAGCTGAGTGGTCGGAACCACCCTTTGGTTTTCCCAGCAGGAAGGTGTTTCCCGAGGTGTTTGGGAGCAGCTTTCCATGGATTTGAGTGCTTGGGTGGCAGGAGTGACTCCAGGGAAGGGCTTGAGCTGGATTTGGGATCTGTTGGTTGCACCCCTGGCTGGGATGGTGAGGTTCTCTCACCCCCTTTTAAACCCAGATTTAGGCCCAGCTTAAATGAACTGCCTAGAAAGACTCAGTGGGACACATCTCATGATGTTTCAGTTTAGGAGACACTTCTGGGTTAAAAAGAAATAAAACAAACCCCAACCCTGGAGAGGGGAAAAAAAAAACCCCAAAGATTTTTGGGAATCTGTGAATAAAACCTGTAAAATTCCTTTTTCAGGAAAAGTGTTTCATTTTTCCAGAGGGTTTCTTGCCTCCCAGAATGCATCCATAATCCGAGATTTAACAATGCAATGGGATTTTCTAATTCCTACATGCCCTGCTCTGCTCTTTTTGAATGGATAAATCCATGTTAAAAAAAAATATTTATTTATATATAGATATAGATATAAATATATAAATATAACTATAATATATATTTATATATAAATATATAAAATAATATATAATTATAAATCTAGAAAGTATATTTATATCTATTTATATCTTTTTATATATAATTTATATATTTATATATAAATATTATATTAATAGAATATATAAATAGATATAATTAAATTTTTATATATATAAAATATATATATTTGTACATAATATAAATAGATATAAATAATTTTTATATATATAAAATATATATTTTTGTACATAAATATGTAATTTTTCCATCTCCCCTCTACATCAGACATAGTGGGAATCAAACATAACAACCCAGATTTGGAGGTGACAGCCAAAAATTCCCGAAGAAATGGGACTGTTCTCACTCCTAGGGTGTTTCCCATTGCCA